CTTGTACCAGATGTGTTTTCCCACTGACTGGAAATCGCTGTGCCTGTGCACTATTCTGTTCCGTGCACCTGTTCTTCAAACTGTGCGAGTATATTGAAACTTGGTTTTTTCTTCCTGTGCGCTGAAATGTTGCTAATGTATTAAACTGTAGGTGACTGGGCCGTTTTAGCAAACGCTTTGTGTTTTCATGTTGCAACCTCTAGTTACTTCCAGCTAATGCTTTGCAGAACTCACTTTACCTACGGATTTACTTTGTTATTTTTAGGAAGAGCACAGCAGGACTTTGGGCTGGGTAGTGTGCTTTTAAAACTAAGTTGTTGTATCTGGGTGATGGAAATTTTATTTTTCTGGTGCGTTTTCTTGTCTTTTTGTCCTGTCTGCTGTTGAAATCGATTAATATTAAGAAAAGGCAAAGTGAAAAATCACCCTTTTATTTACCTCTACATTTATACTTAACAGAATGATGCATTCCCTTACCAACCTTTCAAAAAAACCACGTATGCCAGTTTATCATAGTTCTGCTACTTCTGCATCCAAATAATGGGACTAGTGAGTGTCAAAGCCTTTAACTTAAAATAATACTGCTCTTTTTGAGCTACACTTGCATTCTGAATTCACGTAGGTTTTAGCTCTACTAGAAATTTGTATCTGCTGAGGAGAAGGGAAGCAGGGAAGCTGGCGCTCCAGTTCGAGTTAGGAATTTGGGTGGTAGCCGGGCTGACGTGTCCCGGGTTTTGGCATAATGTTGGGGCTGTATTTCATTAATCCCCCCAACCTGCAGCCCCTGCCTTACTCCTGTGTTCTGAGTGTAGTTTCTTCAGTAACTGCTTGACTGGTTTGAAATCGGCACATTATCTTAAATAATGTAAATTATTTCTTTATGCACGCGGTTGTTTCACCATGTGTAAACTGTGTGTAAATCCGATTGCTGCGGGACTTAACGGAGCTTCTGGGTTGTAGCTACCAACCAAAAGGCATTTGGGATTCCTGCAAAAATAAGATTGTTTATGCATGTGCAAAATGGCATTGCCTGTAATTATGACACAGTTACATTTTTTCTTTCTTACCTTTTAATTTCTCATTGAACTTGGTTTTATGTGTAGTCGTCTGTGTACCCAAAAGACGAGTGGAAAACCTGTTCATGTCCCACAGCGCCTCTTGATTTTTATCCGTTAAAAACCTGCTCTTAACCTGACACCTGTCTGCTTTTAAACTGAAGAGGTGAAGAAAAAGAAAGTTTGGGGGTTGTCTCCTGTGAAGTTACAGGTCTTGGGTTGTAAAGGAGGTGTGCGAGTAATTTGTGATGCTTGTATAAGGTGTGTGGTATTCCAGTGCTGCCCTGCTCGCCGCGGCTCAGATTCCCCCACGTGGTAGGTGCCGTGTACTTTTGGAGGAATAATTTTGTCTCGGTGTCTCGTGAGCTATATTAAGGTTGCGAGCACTTCTTACTGTACCAGGCTGGAAGGGAAATCCAGCACAAGTGTCTGGTAAACAGAAACGTAATATTCCATTCCTGTCTTGAAAGGCTGTGTTATAACAAAGAAAATAATGTATGGCTGATAAATTAATACCTTTTTTAAGCTGGGCATTGGCTATTGCTCTCTCTTAGAGTATCCACTTTTCATGCAAGAAGTAGATGAGCTGCAGGAAAGTCCCCAAGCTCTTACCCTTCCTCCTCTTTTTCCTTACAATGTGTGTACAACTTCGATGGCAAATGCCACCGATCTGTGAATTGAGGTATGGGTTTGGTTTTGTTTTTTTTTAAAGGAATTTTCTGCTCCTTACGGCTATCTGGGCAGAGTGGGGGGAACTTCCAGATGTTAACGAAGTAATAAATTTCTACAGTGCTGTCTTTGTGTCTGTAGACAGATCAGCCTTGTGCCTGCGATGCTTCTGGACTTGCCAACCTACAGCCAAGTGAATTAGACCAACGCCTGTCAATTTTCAGAGCTAATATTGATAACTTCTCTGTGGGCAGCAGTTAAACTGGTTAAAAATACCCCAAAAATGAGGCCACTGTCACATTGACTGGGACTGACAGGATCATCACTGGCTGCAAAGTGCCTCTTTTATGGGAGGCAACCGCTTCACTTGCTACAAGAGCTGGAAGAAGCTGTGGTTTTCTCTACATCGGTGTCTGCTTCTGCTGGGGGCTTGTCAGAAGTCAAACTGTCCGTCCCTGGCGCAGGTTGGGTGCAAATATGAGCTAGCCAGGCTGTCAGGCTGGGCCCTCGCTGGCGGCAAACGAAAGACGTGTAGTTTACAAAGTTGTTGACCTCGGAGTCTGTTGCACTTGGCCTGGGCTGGTTTCAAGGCTGAGGCAGGTAACTGTGCTAACGCCCTCCGCTCCGAGTTGTTCTATTTTTAGTAGAGATAATGTGAAGAAATGCGGTTTTTCTTCAGAAGCAGCGAAAGCGTTGCACGAAGTGTTGCTCTCACATACACAAGCTTCCTCCACCTACGCCTTTGTCTGCACATTGTTTGTACTTTTTTTCTCGGTTCGAGCCTTTAATATTCGGAGCCTTGCAAACCTCTTTTGTCTGATCTTTGATTGCCGAGTGCTGCATGCACCTCACAGGTTCATTCTACGCTCGTAATACCCTTGATTCCTCCGCTTTATGTCTAGATAAGCTTCTTCAAAAATTGCTTTGAAACCATGTGTCTTTTTGCATTTTAATCAGAACCTGCATTGCTCTCTTTTATAGGATGGCAGAAATATATTCTGTCAGCCCATGTTAAGCAGCTTTGAGAAAAGTGAATTCACCTTTTTTTTTTATTAAAAAAAAAAAGACAAAAATAGACACCCAAATCCTACTTTCTTACATTTGGGATTAGAAACTTAAGGGAAAAACCCTTCTGTTAAAAGTATTTCAGATGGTATTTAAACTGCTGTCTCTCAGAACTGCGAATAGTCTCGTTGACGGTATTAAATGTGTGAGGAGGGCTTTGCTTTACCAGCTGTTTGGCTCTTAAATAATGTTGTTCGAAAGTTGTGGGTCCCTTGAGGGTAGCAGGCGGTGTATTCAAAGTGAAAGTAGGTTACTGATTCTGCAGAGTGAAGTGGTTTTAAGACTAAATAGCTTTGATAACTCAGAATAAGCCCCTTTGTTGTTTGTATTTGAAGTGGTACTGTGTTCATACAAAGTGGTTTATTATACAGAATATCCCTTAAGTGAGCAGAGGTGAAATGACAGCAGGATACGTCAAGAGAATAGTTTGACATTTTGCAATTGGGGGGGTGGGGTGTGAAGGTAAAGCTTCCTTTTTCATGACAGTTTTTGCATCTTGCGGCTATCTAGCGGCACTATTCTGATCACCTGCCTGATTTACTCGTGCAACTTGAGAGGTGCTTCATACGCTGAGGAAATAATTGGGTATCATTTTCCACATGACACAGTGATTTTTCTGAGCTTCTGAATAATTCGTTAAATTTCGTGGAAGGAAAAGCTAAACTGAGTTTCGTCATGCCCACTGCTTTCAAAGGGCCTTCGTGGGTATGGGGTCGTTACTTCTGGCTTGCAATTGCAACTGGTTTATTTCATTATTTACTAGCTGTTGCCTCTGAGTGTTACTTGTGATCACAAGCCAATGTTCACAGCCCATCTCCGCGTATTTCCTGGCCCAGCTGGGTCTTGGCACTGGTTTTCCTGCCTCACCTCTGGAGCTGGGAGGCTGGGACCCGAGTCCCTGCTGAGGTTGCAGCGAGTGTGCAGCCGTGGGAATCGACCGTTGCGGTGCTGGGAGTGTCTGCAGGTCACTCTGTCAGGCTTCTTCAGGGATGTTTTTTGAGTGCATTTGGGAATACTGGAGAACTGTTCAAAAACCTGGTTTAATTGACTTTTTTAAGCTGGGGATTGGAACACTGGCTGTTGGTCCATCACTTTCCCCAACCTGTCATTCCACAAAGGTTTTAGGGGACAGTTCAGGCTTTATTATTCAAACCACCCTTCTCTGTCCTCTAGTCATGGGGTGTCCCAGATTCTGTCCTTAAATCTCCTCTTTTACACCCTCTAGTCACAGGTTTAGGTCCGAGTGTGCTGCGTGGTCAGCAGTTCCAACCCATTTCTGATTTGATATGCACAACCAAAAGCCTTGGCTTGATGTTGCAATACTGTGTTACCAAAATGTAATTGTCTTGGTGAAAAATAGATGTGGGAGCTTGATTACTTGTATTCATGAGGGATCACGTGGCATTTTTTGCAAGAGGAAGTAACAGTGTCTGGTCAAATTCCAACTTGGATAACTGCAAGTGAAATTTAAATGGGCAGATGTAATATTGTTTGGCTACTGCATTGAGGCATAAGTAGCTGGGGGAAGGGAGAATGAGACAAAAGAGCAAGTGCCTTAAATCAAGAGGGATCTCTGAGGTGGAAACAAGCAGGGGACACGGTGTTCTTAATCTGATTTAGTGCTGCAAGTGGAAAAAGTCTCCATTGAAATTCTTCATGCATATCTACATTAAGGGAATGTTGTTGGGTATAATCTGTCCTCCTTCTGGGTAAGGATGGGCTCCCTTTGGGAGATGCAGAAGGAGAGGAGGTATTTCTGTGCAGGTGTGCACCTTGTTTGGTGGAGAGGAGGCATACGGGAGTGGAGCAGAGTTTTGGGGCCATCGGTGCTGCTGAAAGTCCAGGAGAAACGCAGATCAGTATCTTGGCAGGCGGAGGATATTCATGGCCTTGACTTCCATATCTTGGGAGTCTAGTACCAGTTCTGATCCCCACAGATCGTGTTTGTACCTCACTGCCTCGTTTGCTTCAGATAGGACAGTCAACCTCCAGCAGATACAGCTCGTAGATAATATACCCTGTGCCTTACCCCAGCTGTACAGACTGAAACCGGAAGAATTTGCTGATGATTTTAGTGACTTCTTTTTTTTTTTTTTTTAATTGACTTTGTTTTCTCTGTTGTCTTTTATAGATAAAATGGTCAACGGTTCATTGGCAACTTTCTCCAGAAGAATAATTACTACTGCTCTGCCCTTGCCATAGTACCAGAATTCTGTGACCTACACATCAGTGCTAAATACCAGCAGAGAATCGTACTTTATTCATTCTGTGTAGATGGAACAGGCGTCGGTCTTGAGAGCCCGCCCTGATTTAAAGCTGCTTACTTGTTTTTTCTGGGATTAAAGGTGCTCAATGAATCAGGGCCCCCCAAATGAGTCAAACGGCCAATTCTTGCCAACAGTTGGTTGAAAACTGTGCCGCGCATGTAGCAGGGATGGCGCAGGAGGACGGTCGCCGTGGTCAAGTGCCACCCACGTTTTATCATGGTGCCAGCCAGGAACTTGATCTGTCCACCAAAGTGTACAAGAGAGAGTCGGGAAGTCCTTACTCGGTGTTGGTGGACAGCAAAATGAGTAAACCCCATCTCCATGAGAGAGAGGAGCAGCCGTATTTCAGGGAGAACAGAGCGGTAGGAGAGGTCCGGGCTGTCAAAGAAGATAGAGAAAACTCTGACGACTCTGAGGAGGAAGAAGAGGAGGAAGATGAAGTGGCTTACAAAAGGGAGCAGATTATAGTAGAGGTAAACCTTAACAACCAAACATTAAATGTATCAAAAGGGGAGAAGGGTGTCCCCTCCCAGTCCAAAGAGACTGCTGTTCTTAAGACCAGCAGTGAGGAAGAGGAGGAGGGTAACAGTGGGAACGAGGCCACTGAAGACAGTGATGATTATGAGGAAAATGAGAGGCAGAAGAAAAAAGAGAAAAGAGTGGAAAAAGTTAGTGTTGCACAAAGGAGGACAAGGAGAGCTGCATCTGCTGCAGCAGCAGCCACAACTTCCCCATCACCCAGAACTACAAGGGGTCGTAGAAAGCGTGTGGAGCCCCCCAAGCATAAGAAGAAAGCTGCAAAGGAGCCCAAGGCACCTGTGCAGAAATCAAAGTGTGAAGAGAAGGAGACTTTAACCTGTGAGAAGTGCCCCAGGGTGTTTAACACACGCTGGTACCTGGAGAAGCACATGAACGTCACTCACAGGCGCATGCAGATCTGCGACAAATGTGGGAAGAAATTTGTTCTAGAAAGTGAGCTGTCCCTTCACCAGCAAACAGACTGTGAAAAAAATATCCAGGTAGGTTTGCTCACCTGCTTGCCAGATTTCCATACCTTCTGTCGTGCCCTGGATACAGCTAGCGGACACTTCAGAGGGGGAAATCTTTTGCGCAGACCAGGTTCTGACCGAGACCTTGTCTCTACGTATCAACACTTTGGTGTCTTCCAAGAGAAGTAGATTGCAGGGAGCAGAGCGTACAGCTGACAGCTGCTTGAGCAGAGTTAGTGTTTTAACTCCGAGTTGGGGAAAACGCAAAGCTGCTTTAACAAATGTCACACTCAAGAGTAACTGGCCTGAAAAACGAGTGCGTTTGCAGTGAAGTACTTTGACAGGATAAACCCTCCTTCTTCAGGTGCTGGGCACCTGCAGCTGTGGCTGTAAAATGCAGATGTTGCGGTGCTGAAACTCAGCCGCAGAGTGAGTCCAGGTAAGGTTTCGTGGGAGAACGGAATTGCGGCGCTTCGCTGGTATTGGAGTCAGAAGTTTGTAAAATACCGGAGAGGCAAGCAGGTGAGGAAGCTACTAGTGAAGTCAGGATATGAACTTACGTTAAAGTGTAACTTTTCTAAATCCTGCGGAGATAATTCTGTAGAGGTGAATTACAGGAGTGTTCCTGTCTGCCTGTGGGAGCGTGTGGATTCAGGGACTGAATGTGTTCACGAGCTGCCCTTTTCCCAGTCGGCAAAGCTCAGTAAATCTCACTGATAGTCTAAAGATCTCTGGTCTTTCTCACCAGAAGATTTGCAGCTTTTAATTTTGCACAACAATGGAAGCCTGTGTTGTAACAGAACCATTTTAAAGTTTAAGTTGTGGAAAGAGTTTCAGAGCTTCTGATTCATCTGTGGTTTGTACTTTGCTCATAGGCATCGATGTTCTCATGTAACTGTTGTTTTATCTGGCGATTCGAACGTGCTTTTTTTTGCCTCGCTAACCGAGGCACAGTGTTGCCACCTACTTCTGAAATAATCCAGCACGAAGCAGCTCGAGTTCAGTTTTTGTGCAGCTGGAATGTTGAGAGTTTGCAGGGCAACGAGGTTTTTTTTTTTTGTCTGTCCAATGGGTTTTACCAGAAAGATTTGTGATTTTTTGTTTGTTTGTTTGTTTTAGCTAAATGCTAAACTGAGCTGGTATTCAATTCCCACTGTGTGAGAAGCAGTTTCACTATTTATTGCAATTTCTCTTTGCTGTAAGACTCAACTTACATAACGTTATGCTATTTTTCCTTATGTTTCAGCTCATAGGAGGAAGACTGAAGGAAGGAGTATAATATAAAATAATGAGTCTTGAGCATAGTTAGTAAAATACATAAACATTTCAGTATGTCCTTGCACTTTTTGAAAGAAATACTTTAAAAGTCCAGCATAGCAGAAAACATTTAGATTTAAATTTAAGGAACGACCTATCATCCAGGTGTCTCGTTCACAGCGTAAAACCTTTTAACTTTAAACAGGAATTCGTGAAGAGTTTGAACGTGTGGTGTAGAATTGGAGAAGTATCCTGTAATCCATGCACACACGTGCTTCTGAGGGGTTACATTCCTCTGTCCTAAAGTTCTTGGAAAAGAAGAAATTGTAGAAATCACGTTTTATATCCAGTACCAGAAGAATCAGGTCCAGAAATTTTCCCAATTTTTCTAGTGCCAGAAGCGCTGCTAGTCATCTTCAAGTTCTCGGTATAAGCATATATTTGACAATTATTTTTGTCTGTCCTGACATTTGGAATGTTTCACAGCTGCCTGCTAATTTGTTTTTATTACACTTGGCAAAAGGAGTAAGGGAATATGAAAGTTTCACTTTAATGTAGGGTTTAATATGTCAAGGGGGATATGGAGCTTTGTCTAGAAAAAAAATGGTTTCATTATGTAAGTGGTACTTGAACTGATACACATGGCTGGCTCCTCTCTCTTTTTTTTCATCTAAGTGATGGAATATATCTGGTTTTCCAGGTAATTTCTGGTTTTCACCCTTTCAAAATGAGCACCTTCACAGCATTTCTGTTGTCACCTTAGACTCTCTGTGTAGTAGATCTCAATAATAGTGTCCTAAATTACTTGCTGCTGACGGTCAATTAAATTATAGGCTGACTGCTTCAAGGGCTCGCTTAACCTTCAGTCAAAGGATTTTGGATTATATCTTAGCATTGCTTTACTCTCTAGGGTTTTTGTTCCCCCTCAAGGGCTAAAGTTTGTTCCTCACGTGCCTCCGAGTAGGTACTTTTGCAGGCAGAGGCTCTCCTTGGAGTCATCACGGTGTGCCGGAGCTCGCCAGCCTGCGGAGATCGAAGCCCTGTGGAAGCAGCGTCGCTTGTCTGTGCGGAGAAGAGACGACTCCAGTTGGCAGGAGGCACAGGGTTTGCTAGTTGTGCGGGGAATTAGCAAAAATAGCCCTTTTTACTTTGAGGGAAGGAGGGGGACTGATAGGCAGACAAGTGGAGATGTACCAAAAACCCCAACAGCTACTAAGAAAAAGAAATTTAAATGACTTTGTATCCTCACATGTGTCTGCTAGCAGGTTTTACAGCTCTGAGGTTATTCTGGAATTTACAAAGTCGTACAAGGATTTATTTTTTTGTCGAGTCTTTAGCCAGACCTAACAATTGGGGAGAAAAAAAAAAGAGATGCCTGAAAGCCTGTGGATCCTGCTCATCGGTTGACTTTTGGGACATTTCACAATAGTTCTGGGAAGAGATTAAAACATCGTTTGCACGTTGTCCATTTAGACTTCCAGCGCTCCCGATAACGTATAAATGAAGAGTCAGAACGTGAAGGATGGAGATGACAGCTTGCTTGGCTGTCTGAGCTGGGTACCAGACTCACCACAGTGGGTCGAGGGCTGCAAGATGAAAACTGCCTTCTGGATGGAGCTGAAAGGACGCGAGAGCTTCGACTAGTTCGTGGGCTCTTAGACCTCAAGGGCTCCAGTCGCTCCTGTCAATGCCAGGGCTGGACCTGCAGATGGGTTTAAGGCAACTCGGTGGTGTTGGCCTCCTCCACCTCGGTCGGCTTCTTCCCACGCGAGCAGCATCGGCGCCCGTGAAGTTTTCTTCTCTGTGTTTAGCTCCTGGAGGGCTGCATCCAGCTACATACACGCAGTTGTACTGTGGAAATAAATCAGTGTGGTGGCTGTGGTGCTCTTCTGGTGGCACCAAAATGAGTGTCATAAGATCCTCTCTAATCCTGCTTGATGTGGCTTTTCTTAGTGTAATTGTTTCAAGTGTGAAACAGTAAATGTAAGCTGAAGTACAGTCTGAGACAGTATACAGCATTTAGACTTGTTTTGGGCTTCTTTTTGTCATGCAAGAGGAAGATAAGTGGCTTAATTCCACAAACTTGAATCACTGAACCTTTCTAATTCAAACTTCCTTCTGTTTATCCCGTTCATTCAGTGCGTTTCCTGTAATAAGTCATTCAAGAAGCTCTGGTCCCTCCATGAACATATCAAGATTATCCACGGATACGCAGAAAAGAAATTCTCCTGTGAGATTTGCGAAAAAAAGTTCTACACCATGGCCCATGTGCGGAAACATATGGTTGGTGAGTTATTGATCAGCGTTTCTGTTAGTTCTGCCTCGTAATGTGCCTTCGTGGTTCTCAACTCGCAGTGGCTGCCTTGAGGAGAAAAATAATAAGGCAAATTCAGTTGTCTGAGCTTTTTCCTTAGCAAAAAGCTCAAGTCTGTAGCACTGGGCAGCTAGCAAAATATCTGAGTGTGTACAAACGTGTGTATACTTAGAAGCTGTTCACTACTAATCATTTTCCAGCTGGAAAAAGTTGGTTAAAGAACTGTTTGCATTTGACTGACCCTCTCTAACGTACTGTTGTGTTGCAGCACACACAAAGGACATGCCATTCACCTGTGAAACCTGTGGAAAATCATTCAAACGCAGTATGTCTCTCAAAGTACATTCCCTACAGCATTCTGGAGAGAAGCCTTTCAGATGTGAGGTGAGGCCGCAACTCGTGTTTAGCTACAGTAGCGTAAGGTATAAAATTAGTAACACTCAGCAGGGAAATAGAAGTGACTGTCTTGGAAATGAGGTGCAGCTTCATAAACATGTGGGGGAAATTTTTCCCCCGGTGGAGAGCCCAGCGGGAATGCCCCTGGCAGCACTTCCAGCTGAGATGCATTTGGTTTGCTTTTAGTGCGGCGGTTTTGCGTTGTGTTTTTGTCAATGAGTACACGCTACAGCCGGATTTGAATCCCAGTTTTCCCTCAGTGTTCATAGCAAAGCCTAATGCAAATTATAGTAATCCTCCCTGTCCTGCCCAGTAACTTGAAACATAGAGAAGTGGCGACAGCAAAAATAAACAAATTGCGGCTTGATTTTAACTTGTGGGAAAAACTTGTCCTCGCTGGGAACTACTACCTCGGTGAGACCTGAGCCAGGGCTCTGAAGTTGCATTTCTCGAAATGAGTGTGTGTGTGTGTTGGGATGGGGGAAGAGTGTCTCGCTGACACTTTCTGGAGCTGCAGTTGTAATTTTCTGCCTGCCCCGGGCAAGGAGACAGTAATGGACAGACTTTCCCCAGTCATATGTCTGGGACGGATAATGTCTCGGTCATCTGATGGGGCTGCTTGTGGGTATCACATGATGGGGGCAGAGGGGGTGCAGAACCCTTCCCGTTTCCAGGGCAGGTCACCCTGGACACCAAGTGGGGCACAACTCCAGCCAGACACGGCGGTGGTGCAGCCAGAGCAGACTTGGAGATAAGACTCTTAGGGAAAGGTTATTACAGCTGGAAAACAAGCCGGCTGGCTGCAAAACCAGGGCTGTGGTAGAGCTGCTGTTGCTTTGCTGTGGGAGCAGAGTCCTCTAGTGGAGGCAGCGCAGATCGCTGGCAAAGCAGCAAAACCCTCCAAATGCTCTCCCGTAAGCCAGCGGAAGCACTTTTCTGTTGGCATAACCGTGTCTCTGCCGAGCATTTGCCAACTGCTGTGTCAACTAAAGGTTGTGACTGTCCCGTGCTCCTTGCCAAGGCTTTCGTGCCAGCAGACCTTGTAATACGGACCGAGTTCTACTCTGGCTAAATAATTTGTGTTTGTGTGAGGGTCTGTGTGTGTTCAGGTACTCTTAACTCCTTCACATGTGAGTGCTGTCCTGTGACTACCTTTGCTTTCCTGGTGTCTGCTGCCTGAATATCCTGGGTTGTTGGTTCTCTGTTGCAGAACTGTGATGAGAGGTTTCAGTACAAGTACCAGCTGCGTTCCCACATGAGCATCCACATTGGGCACAAACAGTTCATGTGCCAGTGGTGCGGCAAAGACTTCAACATGAAGCAGTACTTTGATGAGCACATGAAAACACACACTGGTAAGAGCAAAGAAAAGCACAAGTGGCTCCAGGACAAAAGCGTTCCTGTACTTCCAGCTTCCTTGGAATTTAGGATCAAAGCTGTTACCTAGCCTAGAAAATCAGACAGGAAAGGTTCCTGCATTACGTTGCTGTTAAATGGAGCTGTCTGTAGTCCTGTGATCCATTGTGGGGGGAAACGAGAGGGCAGCCTTGTTATTTTGATCTGAAGGAACCCTTATCAAAGCCTTATCAAAATCCAAAGGTGAGTGAGGATTTCATAAAGCCTGAGGACTTCTGTGCAGCAGCTGTCTGTGTGTTCGCTGAAGGGAGCAGTCCCAGTAGCTTTTGTAGGATGCAGTTTGTCTGCAGAAATGTGCTGCAGTAAGTGCTGGGAGATGGTCTGTGCGTGACTGCTTGCTGTGTCTGTGTTCGGCAGGAGAGAAGCCCTTTATCTGTGAAATCTGCGGGAAGAGCTTCACCAGCCGCCCCAACATGAAGAGGCATCGCCGAACTCACACAGGGGAGAAACCCTACCCGTGTGACGTGTGTGGCCAGCGATTTCGCTTCTCCAACATGCTCAAGGCACACAAGGAGAAGTGCTTCCGCGTCACCAGCCCCGTCAACGTGTCAACTGCTGTCCAGATCCCTCTGTCCACCGCTTCTCCTGCCACCACAGTCCCCGCCGTAGTGAACGCACCCACCACCCCAGCTCCTCCCATCAACCTGAACCCAGTGAGCACGCTTCCCCCGCGCCCCATTCCCCACCCCTATTCCCACCTTCACCTACATCCTCATCCTCACCATCCACATCATCTCCCGGTCCCCCCGGTTCCTCATTTACCCCCTCCTCCAGCTCTTTTTAAGAGCGAGCCTTTAAATCACAGAGGCCAGAGTGAGGACAACTTTCTGCGACACCTGGCAGAAAAAAACAGTTCGGCACAGCACCACTAACGTCCTTGCTTCCTGCCAGCGCTTTTCCCGTTTTATGCACATGGACACATGCCCTCATGGAAGTACAGAGGGTTGGTTGGTGAGGATCTTTGTCCTTCTCGTAGCTGATGGTTCTCTTTTTTTCCCCTTGAGTCAGTTAACAGACAAGGAAAGGCTGGTTTGGATCAGCAGTGCTCATTTGAACTTGGGAACCAACGGGACTTAAACCCAATTTTGCTTGCGTTTTACTGGTGACTTTTATAAATTTCAGATACTGAGACTTGTGGAATTTTATAATTTCATATCAGCTGATGAGGTATGCTTGCTTTTATATCCCGGACTTCTCCTCAAAGAGGAGATAGGCCTGGTTTTCTTTGTACTAATCGGAAAGGCTGTGAGATTAATACAGAGCATTAATTGTATCACTGTGTATCGTAATGGATTCTTTTCAGCTTTTGGTGCCGGCTATGGAGTGAGCCAGCCCCGTATCACAGTATATTTGAGCATTATAAAGAAAGACAAAAAAATTTCTTGTTTGTGTAGCTCTCCTAACACACTCTTTATTTTACTACAGAAATTATTTTAGAGTTTTTTGTATAGACCTATTTAGTAGTCTGTTTCTAAAATGAAATGTATTTCAATAAGCGGTGTAATTTTTTCAGTGTAGCTGGACCTATGTTGTATAATAGATAAATTTTTATAATCATCAAAATGTGATTCTTAAAAGATGCATATAGCTTCTATAGTTAAAGTTATTCTTACAACCATACAACTTCAAAGGTGCTTCAGAGAAGAAAGGAACCCAAGAGGTCTCTGGGAAGGTTGCCTCAAAAAGTGATGTTGATTTCAGAACTTTACGTAATTTATTTTAGTAGGGCTTTTTCTTTTTTTTTTTTTAATTTTACGTTTCCCTTTTCACAGTTTCTCTTGAGCTTTTTGGACGAGGACATTGAGATACCCTGTTTCTGCTCCACAGGTTTTCTTTAGTTCAGTTGGAGCGAGGTATGAGAAGGGGTTGGAAAAAGGGAGCCCCTTGCACGCAGGGACCCACGAGTTTGGGATCGGGGAATCGTGAGCGGATGAAAATCTGACAGTGGAGAAGAAATTGAGTCTCTCAAGTCAGCCCGGTGGTTTTTCTCTTTGTGTAGACAGTCGGTTTTAGTGGCTTCTCATGGTATGATTTTAAGTTGGGGATCATATCAAATGCTGCTCTTCAGATTGCTTTTTGGGGGAGTGGTTGTTTTTGGAATTCCTGGAGTTGTTAGGAGAGGGGAATTAGGGGAGATCATAAACGTGGTGTTTCTGACCGGCTGGTTGTGAGAAGTTTGACTGCGACAGCGGCGTTTCCGTTGCGTCGTTCAGCAAATGCAGGTAGCACTGTGTGTACCATGTGAAGCTCTATCCCATAAACGTAATGTGCAAAAAACTATGGGATGGTTTCTAGGGGGTCGTAGGCATCCTTTGGCAAATCTGAGTTTCACAGTCGTAGGACAGGATCCTTTGAATTGTAGCCATGTCACTGTTTCGTAATCCTGGGAGGCAACGAGGGGGAAATGACAAGTTGGCGCAGGGCTGGTGGGCTGGAATGCCAAATGTGTCTGGTTTAACCAGTGAGTAGCTGTTACTCTTTCAGGTTTGTATTTCTCTCCAACTAAACCTAAATATAGCAGCATTATGCAATCTAGGAACTTGTTGCCACCTTCAGTGAAGACAGAGGCCCAAGGCGATGTACTGTAAGTCCTCTTTTCCTTAAAAATTCCTGCTCTTCTGTGCTGCTTTTTCAATTCAATCCCACCCACCCAGACATCCAGAGATCCTCACAGGCAGACGTCAGACCGTTCTGCTTGGTAATGAACTGGGGGTTTGTGGTTAATGGGATTCTTTTTTTTTTATTTTTTTTTTCAAGGTAGCAGAAACAGTGGAAATTCTTCCTAGCGTTACTTCCTCAAGGTTAATGCTGTTGAGCACTGTGTTTTGAAACACCATGTCCTCTGTTGAGAATTATTAGCTCTCCTTAGTTGATGTTTTTCACCATTTTCTACCACCTAATCGTTAACGGTTTTCTTTTTCATAACAAGCACGGGGAAACTTTAGGAACCAGAAAGGGCAATTTTGGCCCAACAAACCCTTACTCCTTTTTGACTGATCTGAAACCCCTTCCAGCATTTCTGACAAATAAAATGATGTTTTTAAAATGTTCTCTCTATAATTATATACACCCTCTTACCACCTAGAAGAAAACGCCAGTTATGAATTTACTCTCATGATTATGACTGTTGTATTTGCTGTGGCTGGTCTGCCCCGGAGGTTCTATGCATTCCACGTCACATTTGCAACCTACATTTCTGTTGTGCCACTATTTTATGGTCAGGCCTGTTATTAAATGATTTTTAAATGCTAAAAAAAAAAAATCATGGTAAATCAATTGTATTCCAGTTTTGCAAAATGATTTTCTTCTCAATAAATTTACAGTATTAGGCTGCTATTCAGAATTCTAACATCTGGGACAATTTTTTCTGTTATTTAGTTCATAGCAATGATACACCTTTGTATTTTATTTTTTTTTCCTTCTGAGGCTTACAAACTTCCTTTCTGTGGAAGAAGATTAAACTATCTAACCCGCTTAACAGTCTGTCATAACGTGACATGATGCCGACAGATTCTCTTCTTTATCTGGGGCAAACACACCGAAAGCTGGCGTACTGGGCCAAAAGTGTTGCAGCGTAATATCTTCAAAAGTCCATATTTTGGCACGGAGAGGGAAAAGGGGGCTACAGAAGGCAAGAAATTCAAAGTTGAGATTTGCTGTGGCTTCTCCCTTTGCTAAACACAGTCGCATCGGCGCGCACACCTTCTGCGGAGCTCGTGGAACGCTAAGGGATGTGTTCGAGTGTTTCCTGCTTTCTCCTTACGCTGACAAACTGAGCACAGTGGTTTGTATCAGCTTTACAGCATTTCATAAATTAGAGGGGTTGGTTTGTGTCGCTAAAATGTTTCCTTTGAGAGGAGCAAAACCATATTATACCAACTTTGGTTTGAATATTTCTGGCAAGTGGGACTAAATTCGCCCTTTGTTTTTTCCCCTTCAAAACATCCTACAGCCTAAGGCAAAGTTGTACTGATTTTTTTTTTTTTAACACTGTGTTTTAAAGGGGGGAAATCCAACAGGATTATCAGATGAGCAGGAATTCAGCATTCTAAGGTGAGTGCTTCAAAGGACAGCGTCCTTTCTGGAGAAGTTTAAACCACCAGTCCACGGGACAGTGCCTCATCCCTCCTAAAGGCATTAACTGCGTGAGCTTGTTGCTCAGCGTGTTGTCTCGGACTAATTTATCTTCCTGGATCAAGGTGCGGTGCTCGTTGGTTTTGTGCTGTCGTGCCTGCCCGAATTATTGACTCTCCTATTGGCACAGCTCAGATACTTGGGAGGGGGCATCAAAAGTTGCTCTCGCACACCCTGTGTTCCCAACCGAATCTTAAATTATGGACTTCTGAAAGAGTCCTTTAAGCTGGATTTAGGCTTGTATCCGTCTGGGTATTTTTGTCTTTGCCCCGTTGTGTTTCTCGAGCACGTGGTAACTAATCGCAGTCTGTTGAGGAGAGGAGGAGGTAGAGCTCAGGGTGTGCAGTGTAAGAGATGATGCTTCCCTTTGACACTTTTAGTTTTAGCCAAGTAAGCGACAGACCGAGTGTACCTCTGAGCTGAAAAAAAATGAGTATTTTTGTAACATCTTTAATTTGTTGCCTGTTTCTTTGCATCGTGATGACCAGCGGTGTGAGGTCAGGTACCGTTGTGTGTTTTCAGGAGCCTGAGGGACGCGCCGTCGTGCAGGGCTGTTTCTGTAGTGTTGTGCTGACACTTTGGGGTTTGGTTATCACTTGCGGAGTATGTTGGGGGAATACGATGATACGATAAAAGACTATGGAGCTTGCAGTGAAGACGAATGATGCCAACCCTTTTTCACTCTTGGGACTTGAGCTTAGGGTCCTAAAATGATTTATTTTGAAATTTCATGTTTCTGTTGACTGACAGTATTTAAAACAAAACCCAACAACAATCATAATGTAGAGTTCCACAAGACTTCTCTTTTTACTTGCTAATAAGGAACATCTCATTTGTAAATAGAAGGTGGATCGAGTTTCTGGTTTTAGTGTTGGTTTTGGTCTTTAAAAGTGGGAGACAAGTTTTCTAGAGAGATGATGGTAGTGAATTAAAGAAACATTTGCCCATTTTCATGACGAGTTTTCCAGCCTATTAGCACCACACTACGATTATCATAGAATCTAGAACATCTTGAGTTGGAAGGCACCCATAAGGGTCATCAAGTCCAACTCCGTGCTCCTCGCAGGACAACCTAAACCCAAACCGTGGGACCAAGAGCGTTGTCCAAATGCTCCTTCAACTCCCACACACTCGGAGGAGCCTCTTCTGAAGAACCTCTTCCCAGTGGAAAACAGTACTTTATTCTTACCTGCTTCTTAACTTTGCTTTTCAGGGGTGACTAAAAGTTCTTTCAGCTCTCTTGTCCTTCCAGCCTGATGACGTTACTTTTTTTTACGCACATAATTTTTTGGTGGGTTTGGGGGGATTTTTTGTTGGCATAATAGGTACCACTGAGCAGAAGACCCCTGTAAAGTTTGAGCTCAGCTGGGATCTTCTGCATCCTGGTTAGAAAAGTGTAGGCTGGAGACACGTGTACTTGTGAGAACCAATAGCCACATCTCTGTAAAGGCTGATAATTTTATGCTAAAGAGAGTGAGGCTGGCACTATGTATCCTGCTGAGTAATTACAGATAACCTTATCGGGAACTACTCCAGCAATTAGGAATTGCCATTTGCCTTTTCAGCAATTAACATCATTAGCTACAGCCTCAGCAGTTCGGAGCCGATAAACACCGCACCTCTCTGCTCTATATGGAGAGAAAACTACTGACTGCAAAATGCTTTCTCTCTTTTACAGTTCAGATTTGAAAGCAGAAGTGTGGCTGTGCAAGTTTGGACGTGGGCGTTAAGATTTAAACAATCTTTCATAGCACATCACTTGCCAACTTCCATCGAAGGAACTCGCCTCATGCCATAATAGTTATTTTACTCGTATCTTGAAAACTTTCTGTGCTGTTTCATCATTTTCTCCTCTCAGATGCTTTTTTTCTGTCAAAGGGTGCGAGTAGAGAAGAAGGAACACTCATTTTCCCAGGGCTTGTTGCACGTGAATGAAACTTGGTGGTTTTTTGGGGAGATTTAAGTGTTTTCAAAACTGGAATTAAACCCAATTTAGTGATTTTCACTGTTCTAGCAGGCAGAAGGCAGTTTTTGAAGTCATCCAGCACTAGCGAGTGATATTGTCCTGGCCTTGAAAAGTGTGTATTAATTAAGTTTTATATTCTTGTTTTGGCAGATTGATCATGCTAAAAATAAATTACTTCATATACTGTACATATAGTGGAGATATGACAGAAGAACTAAATCCCCCTTTAAAGAGAGAGAAGTTCAAAAGAAAGGCAAGCATTTCCTATAGACACCAGGAAAAAAGTTGACCTTAGGGCTCACAGCTGTCCTTAATAAAGATTTTTATCCTGACAGCACCCAGATAAGTTTGCAGGCTTTAAGCTTCTAATAAAAATCTACGTAAGAAATGAGAATTACATTAATTTCGTTACTGCTTTCTGACCCAGCAAGATAATTTCTGCCTGACTTGACCTGTTCAGATTGATTCTAACGCCGAAAAAGTTTGTCATGGGTCACAGGGGGCGCGCGTTGATCTCAGAAATAATCAGAGCTTTTTGGTTTTGGGGACAGTTGTGTCTCGTTAGCTGTGCCTTTTTAAATGAGGATAAAGATTTGAAAGGGATTTAGTATTTTGGGGCTT